CAGTCCTTATAACAAACAACAAACATTGGAATGGGCCCTTTTGGATGTCTGTTACCGGCAAAAAAACAACTGAACTGGTACAATGGGTGGATCTTTGTATCCTGAGTTTATGTTCGCATGTAATGTCCTGCATTTTGCTGTACGTGAGCTTTCATTGATTGAGAAGATTGTGCTATCAGTCACAATTCTAATAATATTTACGAGAATCCATAATTCATAAGAATCTGACATAATAAGGATGAGACGCGGGAAAAACTAGCAGGCAATCTGAACGTCCTAAGTTTTGCTCATGTTTTCCGAACGTGTTCCAACAACTTGTTATATATGAAAGAGCGAATTTTTTCGTTACTTCGAAAGGATTAATGCGTTGTCACAACCAAAAAGTGCCAGAATCGTTCAAATGCTCTGAGAATGTGTGCTAAACTGAGTTAATGAGCACAATATTCATCTAGAAGTACCTAAGAAGCTTCAAATTTTGTTAAGACGCACTAAACTACCGCACGAAAGAAAACAGCACATAGGTGCTGGATCCAGACAAACTTAGCGAAAGTGGAACAGGGGCCTAGCAGATTTAGATAGGCACCAGCCTTTCTGTCGTAAACTAAGTACATCAACCTAGGGCAGTAATTCCATTTACGTACGCGTGTTTTTAGTTCAGTTTTACTGATTCATTTTTCTCCTCTTTTTTTTTTTTAAAATTTTTTGCATAGGCAGCTTTCTTTCACAGTTAAACTTTTTTTCTACTTGTGACCGCTCAGCACCAATCTGGTGGCCCGCAAACCATTTTCGCTTATTCAAATTGCTAGCAAAGTCTAATTTCACTGGCGGAGCGATTTGTGCAGACCTATTAGACTTGTGAAGTGATGCGAAATTCGACTCTGCGGGTTGTGAATCTATATGCAGCGTGAGGCTCTCAAAACCAGCATGTGTAATAGAACAAGAATGCAGAAATGTCGGATCTCGAATCGATCACTGTTACAAATTGGAAAATGCTGTTCACTGAAATATGAGATGGCCTAAGTGTAGAATTCGCTGTTATTTACTACAACTGGGAAATAGGAATCTGCGCCGACAGTTTTTTTTGTGGCTCGAAATTTTTATACGTTTTTTGCATCTATGCAATGCAGAACACGCATAATGTCGAAGCGTTGTTGTGTTCCGATTTTTCATCTCGAAACCTACACACGCTACAGGGCTGAAACTTTGGGAACTTAATCTACATGCATGCACAGGTCCACACCCCAAAGTCGGCACTCTTACGCGCGTAGTAGCCACGTACGGGCACGCCAAAGTTTTTGACAGACAAGTTGCTAACTCGGGAACCAGAAAAGCTATAAGGCTGGAATTTTAAAAAGAAATTCCCGTCAAAGTAGGTCTTAATAAGCTCAAACCCAGACACGGGTATGCGTGGATCCCATTTACGGACTCGGGAAAGTTTGTTTCGGGTAAGTTGCTAACTTGAGATAAAGCGAAGCTAAAAAACTGGAATTTTAAGCGGATGTTTCCTGAAAGTAGTGGCGCCCAGTCTCAATTCGTTTAGCTAGAAGCATCTGCCGAAAAAACCCATGCCGTTAGCACAAAAATCTGTGGAGAACTGTGCAAAAAACGCATCTTCGCACCGGCAGTCGGCATGCTGGCTATTTATTTTCTTTTTTAGTGAGCTGGGTGTGACTCACGTGAAAGTACCAATATTTCAGATGCTCTGCATATTGTTTAGTAGCATTAGCTTCATTATAGCTGTAACAATATTTATTTGGACAGCATATTTAATTTACGAAGAAGACAAACAAATAAGAGGCCAAGGATGGGCGTTCTACGAGGTAACTGCTTAATTTTCTCGTGCTACATCGATTTGCCTCCTATTGTGATAATGATTTTAAAATAATAGCAGAAAATAAAGCTCATAAATTTGCAGGAGCACTTATTAGGTATAAACCGGATTGTATCTAATACACGAGTAGCGATGTACAGTCTGCACATGGTGCTCTCTCCGGTGCAAGGTAACGCATTTCCACTCGAATCGGCATGCTGTGAATCATTTTCTGTTAATATCCATTTGCACTGCTAACAATCATTCAGAAGCAAGGAAACGCATCCTTGTAGTTAGGTTCAGGCGACTATTTTAAAACCAACCAAATTTTGACTACAGAAATTTCAGAACCACCAGCGGTTTCTCAGAAATGTAACGAAAGCGATACCAAAAGTAAAAATCTCACTGCACTGGCGCTCTAGGTGGAACTGATATTCGTTGTACAGCTTCTTCGCACATTTAAAAAAAAAATCACACATTAAATTCCTCGATTTCTGATTTCAGCACTATGTTGCGCTGGCATACTGAATATACTTTTCAAGAATTTACGACTTATTCAGGCTGATCGGATAACAAAAGGCTACTTTTTCACGCAACCGGTCATTGGACAGCAGGTCAGCTAAAAATGCTTCAAAGCACCGTACAAAGGCTGCTGTATTATAAAAAGCTGATAAAAGCCGAAACCATATTAAAAGTCAAAACGCGAATAAAGAGGGTGATGATACTGCCCACGTCTTTCAGTTTCTAACAAATTTTCAGACAGTGCTTGTTCCAATTGAACTGAAACAAGTGGAAACGCTTGATGACAGCGAAACCGAAAATGCATCCATTGGTGTACAAACAAGCGGCAACCAGAGCAACAAAGAAAGTTTATGGAGCTAGCAGGCTGATTCACTCCACTTTTCGCTCATATCTGCATGTAAGACAATAAAGCTTAAAAGCTACGTGTGAGCTGCTGCAAACACAAGAAATAGCTAAAATTTACCTCATCCTCGTTTATTATCTTCCTGTAGGAAGTGCTCCTTGAAAGTAACGTTACGCGAACCTTATCCAGTAGCGGTCCATTTTGTTGAATTGCCAAACGATGAAGAATATGACGAGAGAACGCGTGAATTAGGCCGCTTCCCTCGCAACCGTCAATCGAAAACAGTTTTTTTTTTTTTTTT